CCATGTGCTGGATGTAGGAAGGGCCAGATCCATTCGCAGCATGGTACGCAAGTACCAGTGTCTTGAAGTGAATTCTAGCAGTTACCGGAAGCCAGTGAAGGGAGCGGAGGAGCGGCGTGGTGTGGGAGAATTTAGGAAGGTTGAAGACCAGACGAGCCGCTGCATTCTGGATGAGCTGCAGAGGTCGGATGGCACATGCAGGTAGACCAGCCAGGAGGGAGTTGCAGTAGTCTAGGCGGCGTGACGAGAGCCTGGACCAGAACCTGCGTCGCTTTCTGGGTCAGGAGGGGACGTATCCTCCTGATCTTGTAAAGAGTGTATCTGCAGCAGCGGGTTGTAGCAGCGATGTTTGCAGTGAAGGACAGTTTGTTACCTAGGGTCACACCCTGAGTCAGGGAAACAATAGAGGTGCCGATGTTGATTGTTAGGAAAGGACAGAATTAACTTGGTGTCGTCAGCGTAGCAGTGGTATGAAAAACCATGCGGGCTAATGACTGATCCGAGCGAGTTTGTGTACAAGGAGAAGAGGAGGGGACCAAGAACAGAGCCCTGAGGGACCCCTGTAGTTAATTGACAAGGGTCGGACTCGGACCCTCTCCAAGTTACCCTGTAGCCTGGTCTTAACCCTGGTCTTTGAGGTATGAGGTGAGGAGGGAAAGTGCAGAGCCTGAAACTCCAAGTTCTTGGAGAGTGCGAAGGAGGATCTGATGATTCACCGTATCGAATGCAGCAGACAGACCGTGTCAAATGAGACATATGTTTACAGGCTTAAATATTAGCTCCAATTTATGGCTTTTTTAATAGATATATAGTAATAACGTACCATTGTTTTATAGATATTGTTAAGGCCTTTATTGAGAACTACTTGCGTGTTGCCAGATAGTGAAAAAATACCCCAGATTGGTTAAAAAAAAAATGGTTACGGTGGGAATCAGCCGAAGCACCACGATATTATCATGATGCAATCTGATAAACGTTTTATTATATACTAAGTATTGTATGAACAAAATATTGCAATTAGAAAGCTTTTCTAAATTGTGAATTATGCAATTTTATCTAAACGTTTTCAGTCTGTTCATCACACTTCAATTATTATTTTTGCAACAAAAGGGGAATGTCAAGAAGGCACAAGAACCATCACTCTCATAATAAAATAATGTGACATAAATGTTGGATGCACCTTCACAAAATATGTTACAGTCTACAAACTCCAACTCAACTGAAGACAAACGTCAGGCTTTAAAAAGTTCGAATTTAATTTGCAATACTAAAAGTTAATAATTTGAGTACATTATCAGTGTGCCCTTTTTTAATACTGTATTCAAAGACTCCTGTTACGGCTTGTCAATGTTTGAATTCTTAGCAATCATTCATATATATGTTATGGATTTAAGAAGTAATATATGTAAGTGTGCAGTGAGAGATTTGGCCACATGGAGGTGCAATATGACCCTGGTAGGTACTGATTATGAGATCAGTTCAGTATACACTGAACAGAGAGCCCCACACTGTGGCCAAAGGGAGAAGTGAAGCTTCATTCTAGTAAATTGCCAGGTCCTGCACTATTGTGACATGTATCATAAATGTTTTATTCTTCACTTTGCCTCAGGACAAACACAATTAGAGGACTCCATTAGGTATTCTTGTTAAATAACACCTCCTCAACATGCACTCACACACGCGCAGGCTATGCAAATATGATGATGAGCTGCAATATGATGATTTGTTAGGTCTTCATTAACACCTATTTTCACTATTGATCAATCTGTAGATTATTTAAATCAATAAAAAGTCAGAACATAGTCAAATAATGCTGGTATCACTTTCTCTGAGCCCTTGTTGACGTATTGCTTGTCTTGTCCAACCAATAGTCCAAAGCTCAGATATGTTTACTGCATGTCATATCAGACATAAAAGCAACAAATCATTACATTGAGAAGTTGCAAGACACATTTTTCTTTCTCAGATTGTCTCAATTGAAGGATCAAGGTGCAGGGTGTAAAACATATACAGTTTTAAACACATTTCACAATTTGTTTTTAATGATCTCTCGGACTTATCCTGGGGTAGATTTAGAAAATATGACAAATGTTTAAACATCAATTAATTATTTTCTGGTTAAAACAATTGTATCTTTACCTGAATCCAGACTAAATGTGAGTAGAGTTTCAATGTTGAAGCTTGTGCTGTGTCTTCTGTTCTTAGCTCTTTATAATATGATGATAATGTTTCTGTTGTGTTATGATTTATGTAAAGCACTTTGAATTACCTTATTGTTTCAAATTTCTGCCCAGCTGCTTCCCCTATTGGATCGAGGCCTGTCCAACACACTGCAGCTCACAACAGCCTGCAGCGTTGTTCTAATAAACGGATAATAAAAAGCAGCAGGATATGCAAAGCCACACATATATAAAAGCCTTTTCATGTCATGCTGCTGAAGTGCTAACGACTGCCTGGCCTGGCCTGTCCCTCCTGTGTGATGTCATCCAATGGATGAGTGTGGCTGGCGGCTGCGATGCGCATGTATGCAGTCCACTGCCTCATCACACACAACCGCACTTGACAGCTTGCCAGGTTAGAGGGGGGAAAAAACACAGGGAGGAAACCAGACCTGCTGAATATCCACCAGCCAGCCGTCATCTACAGGATTCCTCATCGACATCTCATGCATCCTTCTTTCGGATTAATTATGTTTCTCTTGTAACGCACAGATGACAGCGTAACCGGGGCGGTAAGCGGCTCAGATACCCCCAGAAACACGGCTCGCTTTGTGTGCATAGGATCTGTTGTTGTGACTGGACATGAATTCTGCGGAACAGACGGTTACATGGCTGATCACGCTCGGGGTGCTGGAGTCTCCGAAGAAGACCATCTCGGATCCTGAGGCTTTTCTGCAGACCTCCCTGAAAGATGGGGTGGTGTTGTGCAGGCTGCTGGAGCGCCTCAGCCCGGGCTCCACGGAGAAAGTAAGGGGCAATAACACACAAACACACACTCACACTCAAACGCTCCCCCGTCGGCGTGTCTACCCGGATCCATGAAACCGACGCGGGTTGTTGTCTGGGCTTCTCTTTCTGCCCACTGGTCCATGAGGCAATTTCTTTTGTAGGTCACGACAGCCCGGGTTATTGTCTGCGAAAAACAGCCTCTCTATGTTATATGGCTGCACACACACAGTGTGTAACAGAAAAAGGGCCGCTGTTTCCACCATCACAGGGACTACATTGATCAAATTCACCAGATCCTCCAGTGGTTTGGTGTCTTTAACGAAGGCCTGGTTTAATATGCTTTTAATGCAGGTTTTACGCACTCAACAGATCTGCAGTAACGTGTGAAGCCCCTGTTTTAAATGCCTCTTTAATCCAGGGCGATGTCGCGTGTATGTCAATGTATTTTGATGCACACTGAGTGACCTGCCAGGGATGACTAGCCATCTGTACACAGACCCAGCAATAAGAGTGGGCCGCCATTGACTGCAAAGGCGCACAGACAGAGATGGACCCTCTCCCCATTTAAAGACACAGCGCAGTGTTTGTGTCTGTCAATGTAAAGCCAGCTGCCTGAGGGAGGCAATGTTTCCTGAAAAGAGGCTCTGCACCTCCACATAGGCAAATTAGGGATTTGCCTGTTAAATGGCAAACTGGTTCCTCCATTTTCCCCTTATCACTTTCACGATGGGGTGTTGTTTCCTTTTCGAGACATAATCAAATTATGTTTCACACACCAGAGGATTTGATGTAGGCTAAAAAAAAAAGTAAAGCCTCTCTAAAATACAGACAAGAGGAAATATTTTTGCAATGGGTGAAAATCAGTGAGGCATAATCAGCCACTATTACATGCTATATGTTGCTAATTCATGGCATACACATTGATCTACATTCTGTAAATCTGCCATCTCATTTGAGGAGTTTTTTTAAATGTCTTGTTCAAACATAACTGCTAAGATATTCTGAGACACTACTAAATTACTCTCTCCTGCCCCATAACAATATATTTATATTTATTTAGTCACAATACCAATCCAAATCTCTCAGAGGACTGCTTTCTGTAACACTGTACATAAACACACATTTTTGATGTTAAACAATTATGAATAATATTGTGAGGGACATTTATAGTGGAGAAATAAAGGTATCAAGGCCCTCTGGTGGACAAGATACAGTATAGTGAGACTTTCTAATTTAAACTCAAACATATCTTTGGCATGTTGGCACTAAAACATCTTACTTATGATGTGGTCTTTACAGCAATATGATATATCTGGGATAAAATACAAATTAAAGCTGATTTATCGTTTGTGCTCTCAATAATACCACCAGATAGATACCTTTTCTCGAATTTACAGGGATTAGATTGCACTCACGGTGCTCAAAGAGACACTAAATACATTTTGAAAAAGATACAGCAATATCTTTTCCCAGAAATAAGGATCCAAAGATGATCCACAGACCTTGTAGTCAGTAGTTTGTACAGAATCACCACGTTGAGGGATGAAACCTTCTCTGTTGAATGTTAGCTTATTTAGGAAAGCTTTTCTTAGTTTGGTAGAAAGAAAACAGTTCCTACATGAAACTCCTCACAACATGGTCTTTCAATTATCTTGAGTAACCGGGTGATGATTTCTGGAAAGAGACATTGCTGTCAAGGTTTGCGAATAGATTTTTATTGCGCTTTAAGCACCACAAGCTGAGTGCCAGACAGTATTTCATTATATTGAAGGGAGGCTGAGATTTGTAGCTCCAACACTAAACAATCTATATTGATTAAAAGCAAAGCGGGTAAGAATTAATTTATTTCTGGGTGAACTGGTCCTTTAACATTTTCCCCATGCCTCCTGCTATACCCCTAACATTTGTATGTTGAGCTTCTTTAATATTGGTCTTAAATATCTTGGCTACTCATTATTTGGCAGGCCATCTTGTGCCACTCTCTGGCAAAGATGTGACACTCATCTGGTTCTGTTTTGGCTGAGCAGCAGTGTATGTGGGGGAAAGTTTGAGATACGGACCACAGCTGTGTCAGTTACTATCAGGGCAGATATCAGTGTTATGTAGAACAGAGATAATGGATAGCCTACTGGATCCTCCAAATAAGACGCCTCCTTGCTTCCCCCACTTGCATCCCTTCTTGGCCTTTTACATTCCTCAGTTACCTTTCAAGTCAACAATCAGTCAAATGAGTTATTCACAGTTAGAATCAAGGAAAGGCATAAGACAGAAATGGAGTTATGGTAAAGGTTCATCCCTGAACCCATCTGAATCTTCATACAGAGATTAAAGGACATAATGCTGGGATAGTGGATTCAAGGCAACATTGAAAGACGTCCAAAAGACCCTCTTTTGATCACTATATTTTACATGAATTTCACAGCAGGAACATATCTTTAAATTAGGAAATAAGAAAAATAAAAAGAGAAATGTTTAGGCTAGAAAATGGATAATGGTGTGAGTTAAATATGTGAAGAAATGTGGCTAAATTCAAAATAATGAAAAGTGGGAGGAAATACCAATATCAGAAACAAGAAACCAGAAAAATGCAGTTGTTAGAGGCTTTATCAGAGAAAAGTGGAACATAAACAAACAGCCCTGCAGTAAAATTGTAATGGAAAACTAAAGTATATTCATCTATGTTCAGGTTTATTAAGACATACATGAAATAGCATATTTAATGAGCTGTGTGACACAAAGCCAGATCAAATTCATATAATTGTCACAATGATTTGATAATTGTATCAAGAGCTTTAATGTTATGTTGTTAGGCTTTCATTTGAACTGTGATACAAATAATATACCTCGGCCGACTTAAACATATAAGGTCAAACTAATGCAATCTATTTCTGCTGTAAAACCTACTACAATTGATTTGTTGCTTTTTAATGATATTGCCTTATAATAAGATACATATTTTCTCCATTCCACTAATATCAATAAGGCTTAATTTCAGTTGTATCACTTCTTTGTCATTTTGTTGCTTGATATGAAAACCAGTGCACCCATAGGCCACTCCACCATCAGTGGGGATCCCTATATGTCAACGTCATTTCCCTCTGCACAGCTCCATACTCCACAGCCTCCTCCACTTCCCCGCTGCGGGATCAGCGTCCAGCCTCCCTCAAGCGCGCGCGCGCGCGCACACACACACACACACACACACACACACACACACACACACACACACACACACACACACACACACACACAAATGTTGACTAATGCAGAATGCGTGTCGACAGAGAGGAGATACGTGTTTTAAGGCTGATAAACTCACATAAAACCGCAGCGTGAAGAGCAAGAAACCCCGCAGCGTGATCTGGAAGTTTCCCTCTAACCAGCGTTTCCGTCTTTCCAGATCTACCAAGATCCGAAGAACGACGGCGAGTGTCTGAGCAACATAAAGGAGTTTCTGAAGGGCTGCACATCGTTCCGCGTCGAGGTAAGTAGAGCTCTCAGAATAGGGTTTATATTGTATTTTTACCACACATTTCCTCATGTAACAACACCGGGAGTCGCTGTTTTGAAAATGCACGTTTCAACAATAAACAATGGGTTCATGGGGTGGACGGAGCTCCTGACACCGGGAGGAGGAGGGATCTGCAAGCCGAGAACAATCACCCATCGCCCGGCGGAGAGAGATATGCTCATCCGCTTAGTCTAGGGCGATATATTTTCAAAATTAAATCAAATTCAAATAACTTTAAATGGCGTTACTATTATATTGAAGCCTGACTACATTCACCACTTGGATTCATAAGCGCCTGCGTAATGTTTTCTAATTAATGCAGAGCTTTGTCCTCGGCGTGGCTTTATTGTCACCACCGGTTCACACTAGCCCGCCTTGTATAAACAGTGTTTTCTCAAGAACAGTATCTGACCATGGTTATACAAGAGGGTATTGTTCTAACATGGTTATCATAGCCTTATTATTACAAAGTGTAAAGTCTAAACAGATTAGGTCCCTTCCTTGTATGGGTTATATTATAGACATATTAGAGTATGTTGGAGTAATGGTACATTTGAATATCTCCATAAGCAAATGGAGGACAGTGTTTCTGTTTAAGGCTGTGTGTTGGCCATTGCATAGAGGGGTCATTGAACTATCCTAGTTTGACAATAAAACTCAGTGTTCCTCAGCAGTGACTCTGCCCACTGAGTCTGCAGCCAGTGAACAAGAGGTGGAGATGGGGTAAAGACAGAGCGCTGTCATATTAAGTGTGTGAATGTGAAACATGCCCTTTATGAGTTTACAGACAGCGGAAATGTCAGGGAAGATAAGGACATCAGTTATTACTTTATTGTTTAAAGGGCTCTGTTAGTTTTGGCTCGCAGAACCAAAACCTGGACCCGTTGAGCAATAATATGCTGTTTTATTGGTAACAAATTTCCCATCATAAACACTCCTTTACATGTATGTCATGTTGACTTGTGCTTTCACTGGCGGGGATGTTGTACTCAATACCAACACCATTTTCCTATCTCTTTTTGTATACTATTAGATTAGTCTGACTTTATTGGCCACCTCTGGATATTTGTGTTTTGCTTCTCGAAGTACATCAAAGGTACTTGCAGCACACATAACACAAGGCACCATTGAAACATACACATTACAATATTCCAAATGATCACGTAGCAGCAATAAGAAATGATTTAAAAAAGCACATTTTGTAAAATAGCTATTCTTCCTTGTTTGATGCCCGTGTTGCATAGGGAATACATTTTGGGTCTTTGCGTGTTAGTGTGTTCAAATACATGTGACTTTTTGCTGAGTGAACTGGAATCGGCAGGATTACAGTAGTTCGGGGCATGGCAGTCCTCCCGCTCACCATCTGTGGAGCAGAGATGGATTTTCTCCAGAGCCCAGAGCTCTGCTGGCTCTGACCCCAGGTAGCCGCCGCTGTAGATTAGGACAGCTACTGCTTACATGCAAAAGACTGACTGATAGATGCTGCTGTGCTTTCAAAGTCCTGACCTCCCTCTTTTTGATGGCATAACGCTGGGTGTTTGGCTGAAATTAAAAATGCTAGCCTTGCTGTGGTTGCATTTGCATGTAGGGATGGGATATATATTGGGAAATGAGAAATTTGGATATTGTGCGTTGTCTTATGGTTTTAAAGGCTGCGTTCCAGTAAATTGATGTCGTTTTCTGAACTCAAGCAACTGTTGTAGCTGTTGTATTATTTGCCGTTAGCCATTCAATGAAAATGTCTGATTTATCAACAAACTCATTGTAAAAATATTTGATGAAAGCTCCAATAGTCAACCCTCAATTTCTGCTAAATTGAAATCAACGTATTTGATTAGAAATCTCATTATATTCTTCACATCACCTAGCCTTTGTCTAGTGAGGATGTTTAAACAGGACTGATGTATTTCAGATCTAATTTAGATACCTCGTGCAGTTTTGACATTCAAGACCATGTCTGACACTTGGGCAGCTGCTGCTACCGACCCTTCACCTCTAATGGCTTTGACCACAGGAAGTGATCATTAGTTCCCATGACCCACTGCACTGCTCCCTCAGGAATAGTAACCTTTCCCTGAGTCCGCCCTGAGAATAATCACAGATCCATCTCTCTCGACTAATGGGCGACTTTGAATCCATTGACATCAAACATTAATCAAGAAAAAGCTGTTGAAAGGTTTGGCTCTGCAGTAAATGTATAATGCTGTTAAAGGAATTGAGCACTGACACATTTATTGAGTTTAAGGTAAAACGAGGTGCTCAAAACCTTTTGAGGCCATGACATCTTCCATTGTGTTGCTTATACTTTTTCCTACCAATACTTTCGACCCTCATTTTTGTTTGTCTTATTTATATCATAGAAAAACAGCAAATCCTAACACCTGAGCGGTAAAATCAGATAATATAACAACTGATTGCTACGATAAACCAAAGTTGTCCCTGATTAACTGATTTGCATTCGTCTCAGTCACATTTATAAAGTAGAGTTTCTTCACCACAAAAACATTTAACTTGTATAAAGGCATATTCATTTTTGTTTGCAATTCATTTGACATCAGCAGAAGGTCTGTATGGGAGGTGTTATCATCAGAGCTACACTTATTATAAGGTGGACTACATTTCAATTTAATAAATTCCCAAATATCCAGGCAGTTGTTCTTGAATCTTAATTTCTTGCCTGTCTGTGGAGTTTTTGTCTTCAGGGACTGAAACACATGATCAGTGGATTGAGGTCAGCTGACTTACTTAACCACCAAAGAATATCCCTCTGTTCGGCCTTAAATTAGGGTTGCTTGGCTGCCTTGTTTGTGTATCAAGGATCATTTTCCTGTAGCTTTCTCCTAAAATTGTGACAATTAGTCCATACAGTGTATTTTTTTATTGTGAGCATTACGTTGCAAAAATGATAAATTCCTACAATGTGTTGAATCATATTACAATTGCAATATCAATCATAAAATTACAATTAGTTATTTTTTTCCAAATGCTGCAGCCCTACATGTATCCCTGTCCCATTAACAGCAGTACAGGGAGCAGAGTGTGTAATACCTGTGCAGGTAAACACTAATTTCCTCACCCTGTCAGTGAGGGAGCAGTTCAGAGCGTTGTTGCAGCTTGCTGACTCACAGAGGGGTGTTACACTTACGCCTCAGCCTGCTCTGAGCAATCATTACCTGACTGGTGATGAAGCGTAGTGGACATGCTGCTACTTGTCATGTTCATTATTATTTTTCATGAATGTTTGATTACCTTCGTTATATTTCACTGTGACGACTATGAAAATCAAACGGAGGCTCTCCTAAAATGACTTTTAAAATGAAAGTGAACCACTTTTTTGCAGATATTGTGGAGAAAAAGTACAAATACTGAATGCTCCATCTAGTGTCAGACCTAGTAAAATTATTAGGAAGAGCGTGCTTTCACATGAATGCTCCTCAAGGACAGGGACTCTTCCAGAAGCTTGCCTTATACACACACACACACACACACACACACACACACACACACACACACACAAACACACACAAACACACACACACACACACACAAATTTTTTTTTTACAATGCGCAAATGCATCATTCACACAGACCCTGAAGACATATCTGCACTCAGAGCGGAAGATGAGAGNGATGACACACAAATGTACGTAACAATTTCACCAGGAGACTATGCTCCAATTCTGACACATCCAGTCATTGATTTGTTCAATGCACTAACTCAGTGTTTGAATTGGAGCATAGTCTCCTGGTGAAATTGTTACGTACATTTGTGTGTCATCCGCATAGCTATGGTAACTTATTTTCTTGTAAGCATTGAGAGGTCATAGTTTGTGATGGTTTTGTATAGCGGAGAGCATTACAACGTATGTTTACATTTTATGCAGCTTTTAATGCATGTAAATATGAAGGATAACACTTTCTTACTTTCATGTTTAAAAAAGAAAAGCATAACATCTTCATACTTGACAGGCTGGAACTACATATAGCAAATGTTTGTCGTTTTTGCCTAAAAACAACAACAACAACTTATTAATTGATAATATAAAGTTGCTGCAGAACTATTTTCTGTCACACAACTTGAAAAAAAAAAATAAAGCGCCCATTTTATTCCCCACTAATGGCACCTAAGCCTTTCAAAAGGGGAGGACTGTGTCAGTTTGTGCAGACTTATAAAGTAGTTTTCGCTCTCACACCGTCATTGGAGCATGACGACGGAAATATTCAAATTCTTCTGACTCATCTAAAAACAAAAACCATCTTCTACCTCAGGGTCTCTTCTCAGCTTCAGCATGTTCCTAAAATCACATTAATAGTTGTCTCATCCCTATTTCATTATCTGCTTTTAGGATTTTTGCCTAAAACTTGTGAGTGCATTAAAGGTGGGGTATGTAATTTATTTCAGAAACACTTTTTGTTATATTCCGAATGCTCTTAACATCCCGATAGTAATGAATAAATTAAATGCTTTGACAATAAATACATAAAAAAAATTCATCTGTGGAAGCCGTAGTACTGTAAAAAGCACGACCAATCATTTCAGCCGGCCCGGCTAAAATAACTGGATGACCTATCTGCCTGTCAGCCTTCCATCTGTGCACAAACTTATCTCGTGCCCTCATTGGTCATGTGCGCGTTCGTGTGTGTTGGAGGAGGGGCTCTGTAAGGAAGCGGCCGATTTTTTCCGGTTGTGTAATTTAAAATTCTAGCGCACTCAAGCTGGTTTATATAAAATGACATACCCCACCTTTAAGTTATTAATGTTTTTAAATCATGTTTGCTGATCTGATTGTGTTTTCTTCTTTTTTATAACATGTTTGTTGTTTTTGTAGGACTCATCTTGTATGTTCTAGTTCTTCGACTGCATTCATTGCTGCTGAAACATGCAAATTTCCCCCAGGGGAGGAATGAAGTATCTATCTACACTTCCTCAAGCCAAGCACAACAAACAGAGTGAATACAATTCCCCTTTTAAACAAAAAAACACATACAAACTTCTCCGCAATCCCCCACAAACACACAGAGAGACTGACTGAAGTAATACATAGATGCAGATAAATTAACCAGAACTAAAAGATAAAGGGGGTCACACATCTCTCATTTATTACACTGTGTGCAGTACACTCCTCTAATTTCTGTCGTTAGGATGTCAAAACCATGAAAAAGTGTTGTGAAGATCAACAAAATACTTGTTTTTA